ATCGTTTACAACAAGTCTCTCATGCAGCCACCCAAACGCACTGTTCATAATCGACCAACGTTATGGCCGAACCGAAACAGGTGGTCCAACAATCAACAAGTGTGTTGGTGATCCTGTATTGATAAATGTTACTGCCAATTATAATAGTTTTGATTGACCAACTGGGGCGGACCCGCCTGTAAATGAGTTCAAGCGAGATGCAAGATATTTGTGGTATACAATAATATAATATTATGTTTTTGTTTACATTTGAAAATAGAACAGATTTTGATTTCGATTTACTCAAATAACGACGATTGTTGGTTTTGGACAACCAAATAATTGTATGATGAAATTACTTCTTGAGTGTTAAAGCGGATGTCTCTTGTTGGTTAGTTAAAAAATACAGACAAATTTTTGATTGATTTTAAAAAAATTATCTCCACAAATTTTACAATGTTGTCTATTTTGTTTGTTGGTCAGCTGTTACTGTTATTGTCGCCTACGAAAATTCAATAATCAACCAGTTACAATATATACAATATACATATTATATAGGTATATAAAAATAATAATAATGTATCATATTTTATGTGGTCGCTGATTATTTAATTTTCATAGGTGCAAAAACAACAACAGCGGACCAACAAACAAAATAGACAAAATTGTAAAAGAAGTTCTTTTTTGTTGACTTGAATCAAACCAAGTTTTGTGGTTTTCCCAAGGTTTTTATTCGGTGATTATATTTAATCAAATATTAATCATGTAAATGTTGCTCTTTTTTTTTTAATAAATACTTTAAATATACATTATTAGCTCATTATGTTAAAACATAATACGAGTCAAGCATGAGTAAAAAAACTTGTTTCTTTTAGACCATGAACATATAATGCGCAAAAGTAAACAATTATAACTACTCAGTGCTTAGCATAGGTCTCATGTGTATAAAGCACTTAAGATGCGCGTTACCTATTATTATTATTATAGCTAGCTATTATAATAATCAAACGCTTTCAACGTTCCAAAAGGTTATTTCCTTAATTAAAACAATATTGTTTGCGCGGCGTACGTTATTGTGAGAGATGGCCTGAAATAAATTAAGTGGAACTTTAATACAAAAGACATGAGTGAAGAGCTGTAAACTTTTCCCACGAGCGCTTTGTGCTTCTGAAAATTCACACAATGCACATTGTAATCGTTCACTAACGCGCTCGTTCTCAAAAACCAAACAAACTTCGAAATGATGATAATATTAGACATAACTCACGATATTTGAAAAAATATGGAATAACATGACAATATTATAATAAAGACGTCTTATTATAGAACGATCAATAAACGGCAATATATTAGGTAAGGTCTCGAGAATGTAAGGGTTTTGTATAGTTGGGCTTTTAAATACGATTTTTCTATTCTGGAACAAGAATATAATAATTTTACATTTTTAAAAAAACGGAATGTATTATCATATAAAGTATATAAATAATTGTATACAATTATGAACTAACACTTACCTTACATTGATTTATGCGTCACCAATTTGTTCGTTTGCTATGCCTTTGTAAAGATTCGAATGCAAGATCTAAGTTGGTTCGGTTTTTTCAACAGTGACACAGCCATTTCCCATAAAATAATAATATTAACCCCCGTCGATAACACTACCAACTTCACTGTACATATATGTATCATTATTGTCTGGTTATCGGACACTGTAAACATAAATGTGCATTTTTTAGATTTGGGGAAACCGAAGACACATAACTATAATAATTATAATAGGAAAAATGTAATATCTTTGCAAAGTCATAGCAAACGAACAGATTGATGAAAATTAAAAATTCAAACTCTAAAATTATATTGTCTACATGTTTTGGAATTAAAACAGAATATTATATTTAAACGTATGTTCCCCTTTGAAAACACCAAGTACTCATACTTCTATTAATTATAAGGGATGAAGGTAAAACATTTCTATGTATTGGAAAATATAGTAAAATATATTTCTTACATCAAGTAGATCACCCTGTATAAAAAAAAAATTGTACAATAACAATAAAATTACTTGTAAATGGCGTCCAACAGGGCGGCCACCGGGTCCGGTCCGACGTCCCAGTCCAGTGCCAGACGCGCCATCACGTACAGTATGTCGTGGTGTTTGCCCAACGGACAGACGGAGCCGTTGGCCCGGACCGCCCGGTCGTGGTGCGCCACGGCGCCACGCACGGCCACCTCGCAAGCCCGCCGCCTGTCCCGGCCACACCACGGGCCGCACAGGCCATCCACCACGGTGGCCACGTACTCTCGGTGTTGGGTGCGCTTGTACGCCGGGATCAGCTCGTCCCGTTCCAGCTTGTCCACGATCTGCGTGTAAAACTCTTCCAGAACCGCTTCCATCGCGGTTGGTCGTCGGCGACTGCCACGTCAAGCAGTTAGGGTTAAGTTCTGGCCGCCGATCAAGACCTCGCCGAAGCCGTATAGGTCCCTCCTAACCGGATTGGGTCAGCGGTAATCGATCGCCGCGGCCTTAACGTAGGGGATAATACTTGGTTACATAAAAAAAAAAATGGTAAACCATAAAGTGCACAGGGTGATCGGTAAGTTAATGGAAATAAAATGTATTGAAGGAGAAAAAAGGAAAATTGAAGAATTTATAATGAAACCAGTACAAATAAACCAATCACAGTCTACACTAGGATATGTATTCAAGAATTCGGATGTAAGCTGCATTTATGAGTACATGATTTAATAATATAATAAAAAAATTATTATCCTAAACACTAATAAAAAAAGTCATGTTTACCAGAAGCTAGCAGAACTCTTTAATAATGTGGTTTAGTATCTTTTCCGATTTCCGTTGATTGAATTCTCATTCAAATTTCTCCATCTAACAGAAATTTTTCTACTTGTTGTTTCTTATGCGTGTGTAGTTTAGCAAATACATTATCCAAACAATTAAAAATTCTCAATTATACAATGTTCATCCAGGTAGCTTTAAAAAAATGTAACGTTTTTAGATTTCTTGCTCCTTTAATTTCAATAATTATAAAGTATACGTTCTATTAAGATTGAAGTGTACTCACAAACAAATAAAAGCACAACAAACGCGTGCAAAAACAAACTAAATAAAAATGACTGTTTATTTTTAGATAAAAAATGCTTAGTGATAGAATAATTTGTTCATCAAGTAATAGTGTTGTATTTTGGCACCTAATAACTATCGTTTATTATATTTGATTAAAAAAAAAAAATATATGAGTCTTTTTCTTTGGCCTTCTCAATACAAACCACAAATCCTAATACCGTTCTGTTAGGGACAATAGGTAGCTATTATTAAACAATTTCCTACAAAGAACCAATTAAATTGAAATACTGTTGAGAAAAATACTATTGATTCTAAAATATTCATCAATTTCAAAACTAGGTACTTTATAAAATCACTTTTAAAATATATCAACTGACGCGTTGGTTGAGTATGCGGTAAATTGTTTTGTCAAGTGAAAGCTTAAATACCCAACGGAAATCCTCAAACATACCTTGAGTCATACATCCAACAATATTTCTGCACTGGTATAGTTCTATCTTCTTGCGCTGAACGGAGTGATTGGTTAACTATAAAATTGAATGAAAAAGAATAGTTTGAAAATGTCATAGTTGGCTAACCAGTCTGTGTAAGGGAAAAAAGAAATGGGTGTAGACAATCCATTATGGATCTTGTGAGAAAAGTCGTTTTAAGAGAAAAAAAAATTCAAGTAGGTAAGCTACTGAATTTCTCGGTATAATAATAGTATAGTACATGTCTGTAAAAGAAAAAGTATACAATTTGAAAACGCTATCGATGGAAAAACTGCTTCTCCGTTTAACATCAGCGTTGTGTGTGTATTGAAAATATTACAAAATAACTCTTTGAACCGGATGAAGTTAAACAATGATATTATATTATTATATAGACAACACGGACTAGCCGACAGCGACAGCCGAGAATCGATCCCAAAGCTCAAATGACAATACACACACTCTCCTTTCCCTCTATCTTTTCTCCCTCCCTCTCTGTCTGTTTCTGTCTATAGCTAAGAAAAAAATAATAATAATGAAAATTTCTAAAAAAAAAAAAACAAAAATCCATCCTGTACAATGCTAGAGAAAACAATGTCCAAAACTGTGTACAATAACATTATAATAATATAGTGAATCTTGTCAACATAAAATGTCCCATAATTTTATGTAACTACATAATATATTAAGTTTGTAATAAATATAAAATTAAGTTGGTGATAAGTGCATAATATTTTATTTACTATGCATAGGTCAGCGGTAGAGCTAGGGTTTTTTTTTATTATTGTTAATAATAATAAGCCCTTTTTAGATAACAATATATAATTTTAATTCAACTTGCTATTGTGATTTTCACATACCCTATTGTAGCATTCCGTCGAATTGTCTGTATTACCCAAGTGAAGATAATAATGAATGTGTATTTAATTTAAAGGATCGCTACAGAAGAATCCTATTATAATTCATTCAGAAAGAGAGCAAGAGAAAATAATACCCTACACCAGCTTGGCCTGGTAACAGATTTATATAGTAAACCCTACAGGCTGCGCCGCCGCCTATTATCTTCTATATATTCATTCTCTTCTTAGATGTCAAAGATAACCATTATGCTTTTAAGATTTATTAAACATAATAATTGGGATAATACACATAAAAGGTATTGTTTAAATTATAATAATGTAGATCTGTGCCAGATGAAGCTGATATGTCACTTTTTGAGATATTTATACAAATGTGTTTCTTAAAATGAGTATTAGACAAAGTGACCAGATATTGTAGCCAGTACTTAAGAACGTTTTTTGCTGAACAACTTTAACCGCATTTCCCCAAAAGTTGGAAAAAGGACATGTAAGCTTCTGCCATCCCGCTACAGAGATAGATTGTGTGCAAGTGCACCATGTACATGCAAATGATACTTAAATAATACCATTGTAATATATTACACATTTTTGTTTTTGTTTTTTTTTCAGCGTTTTGATTCAAAATAACAACTGGGACCCACAGTTCGAGTTCACTTACCGAGGACTTGTGACGATGAAAGGCAAACCGGAACCGATGAAAGTGTGGCTTTTGAACAGGAAACAATTGAAGTGAAACAATCAAAAGTCGCAGCCCGGCCGAAGAACATTATTAGACCGTGTTTTACCTGTATTCTCCCCATTCACCATTTTATCAGATTATTATTAATTTATTGTCACTCATAGTTTTTACTGTTTCAACAAATAAAATATACCACTGTTGTAGATTAGTAGTTGATATCGCTTGTAAACTAATACACACAATAAAAAATATATCATGCAAATAATAATTATACAACAAATTATACTTATACTCACCCAAAACTAAACAGTGTTTTTTTTTTTTGGACCTATCCAAATTTTTGGATTGGGCGGACTGCACTTCCTGTTGGCTAAAATTCGCACCTGTGGGTCTACTTTTGAAATATTTATTTTTTGTGTACTAATTGTATTAGTGATGATGAACAGCTAATACAATATTTTTGGTCGTACTAAAATTTTAGATAAACTCAATAGGCTCATGCCACTCTAATTGCTGTTTTAGCTCAGTGCTTAAAATCTTTATGGTGTTCCCTAGTTTGATCTACACATGAACTTAGACCGTCTAGGTAATGAGCAAGCCGGCCTTATTATTTGAAGTTCTTTGATTTTACTCTTAAAATAGATTATTTTCCACGTGACATCATTAAGGGTTTAAAAATCTGATGATATGTAACTGGAGGTACACAGAGCAAATCTAAAAGTCGTTAAAATGTTTAATTAAAAAAAAAATGAATTATTTGTTTTAAATTTCATCGATTTTCTCATTCAGTTATAAATTGCAATAAATAAATTAGATAGGACAGTGACACAGCTTACGTAAGACCAAATAATGTACTCACAAATTAAAGCAATGTAGTAATCGCTGAAAATTTAAACATACCAAAACCCTCCCCAACTCAAGAGTAGCAAAAACCTTTATGAGAAATTATTGTTTCAGAACTGAGCATCACTGAATTTATTGATTGTTATCACCGACATATTGTACATTTATTTGATAACATCATGGAAAACATTGGCCAGACTAGAGTGGGGGCGGGGGGGGGCTAAGGGAGTTTAGTACCTTTTAAAAACTCTGAAAGCTCCCTCAGAATTTCAATAAAAATTATAAACCTTACTCGGGGACTGTGTATAATAATTGGTTATTAATACTTTTTTTTAGAGTCTTAAAGAGTTTTGAAGGATTTAAACCTCCCTAGCCGCCCTCTAGCTACACCAATGATGGTAAAATGTTAATATATAATCATTTCTTTTTTAGAATGTGGGCACATTGAGTCGAGAGAGTTTTGGTTTCAGTTTGCAGTAAATGACAAAGTGGACCGTCTGGTTTTATCAAATCCACGATAGTGGTTAATGGAAATTATCAGCTGATCACGGAAAACGTTCACGATCCCATATCTTTTCTTCGAGGGAAAGATTGAATTTTAACATATTATGATGTGTTATTGTATGTCAGGATATGTTATTAGGATGGATGCAAGAAATTTCACGTAACCATTTTCGCGTTACAATATTTAAAAATAATTTAAATTTTATAAGTGATAAGTGAAAAGAAACGAATGATAAGAGATAACTGATAAGAGATATTTGATAAGTGATAAGAGATAACGTATCAATGATTCAATGTTTTTCCGTGAAGCGGAGAAAATAATTAGGTTTTTTTTTTCCAAACGTCTCAGGACAGGCGTAGGTGGTGCGCAAATCCTTTCGGGCTAGCTGCTGGTACGGACAGACGTAGTGGTTGTGTACGTGTTCGTCATAATATCTTCAAGATAATTAATATACGTCCGAGTGTGTGAGTGTGTGTGTGTGTGTAAGACGAGGAGTGAAAAATAAAAAAAAAGTAGCCCACGGATACCTTCTTGTCTGCTGCCGCGGTCGCCGGTCTGTCCCGACCGGCTCTTAGTGGGGATCAAACTGGTTTGCGCGCGGTCTCGCCCGCTTCGAACAGGTTGCCCGGCCGCAGTCTTGTTCTTGGGAGATCGGCTCGTCGTCGCGCTGTACTCGTTACGGATTTTCGTTTGTGTCAAAAATAATTATCAAAAAAAAAAACAACAACGATAATAAGGCATTTTTTTATTTTTTTTTTAACCTCGTGCGCATTTTTTCGGACGATCCAATTCGAATAAAACTCGCGCGTTTGGACTTTCACCAACGGCTGAAGGACCACACTGTAAGGTAAGATACAATCGTTATGGTATCATCACTCCTGAAACTTTTTAAGACAAACAAACTTATAGATAGCATTATCGATTCGATATTTTGCTTTGTACTCAAATTAATAATTGTTGATCTTGATAAAAAAAAAAAATCTTAAACACTGTTCAATCGTTACTCCAACCGTCCAAATTGTACGATTAACGGAGTGAATAGTCGAAAAACAATATAATACAATCAATTAAATAACAATTTATTTATCGAAATCCAGAGTAATCATTTAATCATTGGTGGACAATGAAAACTGAGGAATTAGGTACAACAATTCTGAACTCTCTGGGACGGTTAATGACCGTGCTGGGAATTTAAACATAGTTTTGTTTTACTTACAATGTAAAATACGTTTTAATCAAACAACTCTACAAGGTATAAACGAGAGAAGATTTTTAGCAAAAACCATTTGTCCGTTAACAATTTGTAACAACAAATAGCTACATCACATAGTCGTTATACCGTTGCACCTGCCGCTTAGTCCCGGAGGGTGGTTTTGTCAGGCGCCAAAACCCTTGCCCGGCCTTCATGTTATGTGTATAACATCATCCCCTTTCTTTCGACCGGTCATATGATTAATATTCCTCGACTAATTTGACCCGACCAAAAAAAACCTGCAACATCTCACACTAGAGCAAAAACCAACAGGTAGTCTAGGGCTTGTTTTGTTGGTCGACGCACCTTTCCTTTTATTAAGGTGTACACTGTAAAAGATAATTTAATAAACAATAACTCCCGTCGAGAGTTGTTAAGGGGCAGTGGCAGGAACGAGAAGGGTTGGTCGTGGACGATATGACCCAGTCAAAGGGCAAGGTTAGGACTTGGGTGTATTCTTCGGTTTGCCACTGTCTTCAGCACACACTTACGCGGGTTTGCTATTTCATTTTCCTTTCTTCTTCCGACATTCCAAAAACCATCACAGTCTATTTCTTATCACGTCTTGTCATTCCGAATATGCAATCTAACCTAGACAACCATCTCGACGTTCTCATTTCGGTTATTTATATTTTCCTGTCACCCATTCAAAGACCAACGCACACTCGCTGCAGTATTGTAAACATTTCCTTTCGCCCTAAATGACACATTTTGGTCACACAGAACACAACTATTTCCACTGTTTCCGCCTCATTCATTGCACAACAGCTGATCTCAAACACTACATATTTTTCTCTACACATTGTTTACCACTTGCTCTTCAACCATAACAGGCTCTCTGCCTTTATTTCAAACCTCTGACTTTAATGTTATTTTTTTTTTTTTACATGCATTTATTTATACGCTTCTTTAATCTAGTCAAATTTATTTTTATAAAAGTTTAATTAATCTTAATCCTAATGTAAGGTTTTTTTTTCTCGAAAATCAATTCACCGTTTCACTTGACATTCAGTCACATCACGTGTTTACATAGAAAAGTACTTCGCTGTTTTTTTACACCGGTCTTATGGCAATTCGGTTTGTGTTCTAAATATAATTATTTTTTTCTTTCATAAACGTTATAATTTATTCATTAAAACGCTTCCGAGTGAGCCTATAAACGCAGACTCCTTGACCGTATAATGACTTCCATGTTATAATAGCTGACGGATGTGTGTTGTCGGCGCGTTAACACGTTATATCCATCCGCGGCGGTGTGGGAAACGTAACGGGTTCAGAAAACCAGACAAATCTGTTTAAACAAAAAAAAATATGTAACAATAATAGTGATGCGAAAATCGCCAGGTGCCTCTGATCGTTGATCAGCCAACAGAAATAGTAAACAAATCATTACTACTTGAATAACAACGCAGTTAACTGGATTTTTAAATACTGAAATCGACATTATATTGAAAATCCAAACATTCTTAGTTCAAAAAGATGTAATATTAAGTAACCCGTTTTCTAATCTTGAGATTTTCAAAGCCTTAAAAAATCCGTATAATATCTAAAATAATATTAAAAATTTAAAAAAAAAACGCTTGTTAATGAAATCAATAGTTAATTAATTGACATCAGATAAACGGTCTCCATCTGAAACATGGTCAATAGTTAAAATTATTAAATTTATAATTAGTTGTTATTTCGCTAATATATTTAATCGTTTGTCCAATCATTAGTTAATTGAATGTAGTTAATTACAATTTTTTAATTACTCGATTACAACTGTAATCAACTCTGATCGTCATCTCGATCTTGGGTTTCCTTAAACAAAACAAAAAGACTTTAGGGACTCGTCCTTAAGTGCCGTACTGCGAATCACAAAATATTTTACAATTTTCCAGTAATTATTGTCAGGCTATAATTATTATGTAAACAATTTTAACAAAACAAAAACAGCGCGTTCAGCAGACAGTTAGGTTAGGTTCGCCAATGTTCCCACGGTTCGCTCGATTCAATTATGCGCTAAATAAATAAGTATGACAATTGTTGCTGCCGGTCATGGGTTCGCCTAAATGCCCGGGGATAACGATTAAGTATAATTATGTATTTCATTCGAATATCATGTGCTTAGGAAACGGCCGCAATGATAATGCTGGGTTTTCATTGTACTCTCGGAGCTGCACCTATAATATTATATTCGGTCGACTTTAATAATAATATTATCGCGTTAATAAGTGTCACAACCGTCGGCGGAAAGCTGTCGAATTTTTTTTGTTTGTTCTTTTCTAGAACACTCTCATGATATATCCGAGCAAACTATCAGACCATTTCGAAATGACCGGCCGGCAGCATTGCCCGCACCTCACAGTCATTGCAGTGACTTGTACACAATCAAATAATAATATCATATTGTACACACACGTTGCGGGTGCCGCCATGATTCGCGAATAATAACAAAAGTAACGATACCGCCTGTATCTTTTTTTATTAGGATTTTTTTTTTATTACTATTTCTTTAGTCGTTCTTTGGGCCGACGTCCGCCGGTCTGTTACACGCTCCAATAAACTGTCCACGTCTGTCGCACGCTCAGCATTCAGCGGTCGAAGGCGAGTGAATGCAATTTGTTTTTTTTTTCCAGACCGACTCAACACTTCTCTGTTAAGTAATCGTCGAATCGGTATTATGTTTAACACAAAAAGATTCATCAGTGTCTTCGAGGTGGACTCATCCAAACCTATCCTCGTTGGCGCAAATAGAGCGGGTCTGAGAAAGTCGAGACTCTTTTAAAACTCTTTAAGCTCGCTGAGAATTGATTACTGACATTTTTTGGAAGCCCGAATTAGTTCAGAAGTATTTGGAATTCCTAGTTCTTCGCCCCTATCCACTTTACCTAAACTAAGCCCAAAAGATGAATCACTATCAAAACCGTATATCAGATTACTATAAATGTATACATTGTGATAACCAGGGTAGTTTACGCTCTCTGCCTGTAACTAATCCAAACTAAATCTAACCTGCAATTAAACCTACACACTCAATATTTTTCTTTTACATCGCCACTACTCCAATTCGTTCAGGACGAATCGTCTTGACGTCCACCTTCGTCCTTACAACTACAATCCTCAAACCGTTGACAATTACTTCTAAGCATCGACTTTCTGTATCTATTCACTCCATTGTTGAAGCCACATCTAAGCCACGTTCGTATTCATAGTTTTCTCTACAGAACATTGGCTAATTCAAATCTCACAACAATTCAGCAAAACGTTTAATATAGTTCAGTCAATCTACGTTGACGAGTACCTGTTTAATAATAATAATAATAAATCAAATTTGTATTGTCTTTAGACTTTTATGTAACTATCGTGTCATGCTCTTGAGGTTCGACAACAAATGACTATGTTCAATTAAAATAATTAACACAAACAACTTCAAATGTAAATCAATCTTGTGTGTATTATGCTGTTTGTTTTGTTTTTTAATATCATGATTAAATCCGTCAGTAGTTAAATGTTCGGTGTTCCCGTGAAGTTCAAGGTGTCACTCGACGCTCATTTACAAACCGGATATTATTTAACCTTTTATATTAATTACTTCTATATTGAATTTCACCCTTTATTATATTGCATTGGACTCATTATGTCGACGAAAACAATTATTTTAAGCCGCACGTCCACGACTCGGCTGTGTGTAATCCGTCCTGTTGTTAAACGTTTGTTTTCTTTGGCGTGATTGATTTGTTTACATCGTCCGTCAGCTTTCGTTTTAGTCTCCTTTACGTTTTAATTGTCTTAAAACCTAACTCTGTAGCAATGGCGATGACAACCGACAGAGCAATACATAAAGCCATCGGTATTGTCCCATCAGGCTGAAAGCAGCTTATCTTGTCCCTGCAATTTGGGGAGTCTGGAAGGATAATCCCACGAGGTATTGATCTCCAACCAAGGAGTCTTTCTTAAATCAAAAAACGATTTTTAGGCTTTTTTCGGTGTATCGTCTAGGATTTTTCATTTTTGTACAGAAATCCTCGAGGGTATCACTAGGGTTTTTGGTAGGAGGGGGGGGGCAACTAGATTGTGATTTATTCAGCTCGCGGTATCGTTACTCGGATTAAGTTTATAAGGCAATACGTGAAAAATCCCTTGACAACAATCTGTAAGTACTCCGTTTGCGCACGAATCAACACATATGCAACCATAGCCACCGTGAAAATTGAAAAACCTAAAACTGACAGGCCTTAGCCTAATTTACATGGTTTTCCGTTCGGATCGAGACGTTATCGTCGTAACGATCTTTGTTCTACATTACTGCCGGTAATAGCTCACCGTGCGGGTTTCCTACTTAAATATTATAGCTGTTGTTTATGCGTGTAACCCGACGTGTGGGCTCCAACGCAGGTCATTATTACTCATTATCATTTCACGACCACGAGGTGAGCCGTACCGCCAATGTAATATCAGTTAGCACAAAACATAACGGTGGTCAACGCTTAGCCTAGAAAAACAGTTTGTCTGACTTACTGACAAATGCGGTGTTGGCCATAGACAGACCACATATTATAATCAACAACAACGCAAATGTCTGTCTGCTAAATGAACACGTCAATGTTAACTCCAACATCAGCCGCGATGACCACCGTGTACCCAAGGATATGTTTTTGGATTATCAAAATGTAAAATATATTGTCACATCTCGTTGAGCCTTTGACGGTGTTTTCGTTGCTAGTTTCATCTGTTCGGTGATCAATTGAAGCCAAAGACATGATCAAATGCGTTTTACAAGTCTGCCTGTGACTTGGTCACTCGAATGGGGGAGGTTCGTTAGAAAAAGTAGAACCTGTTAAGATTGGGTTGTCGATGAAAACTGCATTTTTAAATACTGTACTTCCAAATGAAGGAGAAACCGTCTCGGAAATTCACTGGCACGCCAATGGAGCGCCTCAAAACAATATTAATGGGTTAGGTGAGGTCAGGACGAACGAACGAAATCCGAAATAACGTTTATTTGCTATTTGATTTTTTCCCCGTCCAAACGACCATCGCTGTTAATAAAACAGCCGCAACAGTTGTCGTTGAACTGCGGCGAAGACACGCTTTCTAGAGATCACAATGTCATTTTCATAATGGTCTCCAGCTTTTATTTTGTATTGACAATATTTTTTCACGTTCCTGTTGAATATACATACTGTTTTCTTTGTTGACCGCCGATGCGTGTAAATGCAGTACGCTTGCGCATAATATAATAATATATATATAAATATTTTTTTTATATTAAATATTACAGGTATACTCGAAATACGTCATTGTGTACTTTCGATTACAAAAATTTCGTTATTATGACTATTATAACCGTGATGTCGTTTTCCAGAATCCAAAACATATTCTTATACAGTGAAATCTTCCTCGCCATGCCGGTTAACATGGATGACGTCTTATTAAACATTTACTTGATAAAATATTTATTAAAACTAATATTTGTTGTGTTTCCGAGTTAAATGTGTAGGTTTTTCAACCAAATGTAAAAATCAGAGTATACATTGTCAACCATCAGTACATTTTGCATAAGGCGTCAGCTGTTAACCCATAAAAAATGACGGCCAACCCTGAAAATACAAAAATTGTTCATTGTTTATTTTGTATGTATAAATTCGAGTCAACATAATTATATTAAACCGCCTGGAAACTAAAGCGATGGCACTGAAAACGAAATTACCGCAACAACATAAGCTGTAGTATACATTTTCTGTCCGAGAGTGTATTTGAACATTTCATTTTGCGGTTACGAGTGATTTAACATTTCCCAACGGCTATAATAACGCAGTACCTATATATTTTTGCATGCGCCTATTAGTAAAATTATTATCTGCTTTACACATGCCGTCGACTAAACGACGGTGAATTAATAGACGATATCGAGAGAGAAACGGTGGTATCATTAAAAACGTTCTAGAAACACAATTTTTGTCTTGTTCATCAATTTTCTCAGGCGACTTTCGAACATATTATAATTGTCGGCAACGTGTATGACGGGCACGCGTTAAAAACAAATTTAACGACCGAGAAACCGATTTGCCCGGCAAAGCCCTTTTGCATTTGATACGACGAACTCGTGTCGATCCGTCAAATGTATAATCGACAACATCTGTACAAACTGTGCACTGATAATGTACAATGCTGATAATTTGCTCGTAAAAGTTTTATCAGATGTAAAAATATAGATAAATGTATCTATATTTACGACCCGGTTGAGCATAATAAGTTGTACGCACACATCTCTTGTGATGAGACTGCGTCTCCACTGTACCGGCTGGCAAAACCGATTCCATTTTTATTTTTACTAGATACTGTTATAAATGTTGCCTATTTTATTTATGCGATATACATGTATACAGTTATCTTTATTATATAAGTTAACCTAGATCCTCATGTGCACTATGTGTTCCTCCGAGTCCAGATGCGGTCGACAGACAGTCCAAACCGGTTGCTGTCACACATCTCGCGGGCAATACGAACGTCGCATCGACAATTTTGAAATAACATTCCCAGCGGAGATCATATTTGATATATGATATATTATATTATCCTAACTTGTGGCGAAATATTATTGTATGCGGTCGATGGGCAAACGTTTTTACCTATACAGATTTGTGCACTCGCCGGGCAAAGCACATAAATCATAAACAGTAGTAAGCCAGCTCAATGAGTGTCTCAAACCAATACCAAAACGCGCTACCTTTACAATAATTATTATTAATATAGTGCAACGGTGGCCGTATAATTGGTCTGATGCAATCGATTATATTATTATCATGTTACCGCTTTGGTAATTGAAATATTTATAGGACCGGTAATTGAAAAGACCTCTTTCCAAACAGCCCTCGACGTCCTCCGAGGTATTCGAATGGATTCGGCTCAATATTATTGTATGTGTGTATGTGTAAATACCGTATAGCCATGGCCTAGTAGAGTAAATCCGCGGGTATGGTAATGATCCGGCGATCGAGTGATCTATAAAACGCGAATCTGGCGCTATTCCATGTACTTAATGTGCAGTCCAACCCAGCCGGACTCGGCTGATGGAGCAAATTTTCCAGAGTGAGCTGTGCAGTTTTTATCTACCATCTAACGCGGATTCTGCGAGATAGAAATTTCGTTTAATTAAAAACGTCGTCGTGTGGTTTTTCGTACATGAAATTTCTATTAACGCATTGTCTTAGATTTTTTTTGTTTTTTGTGTTGTCCGTTTTATTGATAAATTTCGTTTGTGTCAAGCGTGCCGGGATCACAATGTACCGAGCTATCGGCTGTATGGAATAATCCACGACGCTATCGAATAACGTATTATTTTAATTTACATCTATTGTGCTGGCAACGTAGGTACAATGTGTGGCTTTCACCGATAATCGTTTGAATATAATTTTTTTTTCGTGTACACGCGCACTGTCTTACAACGCGGTTTATGATCAACCGAACAAATAGAATCGATCGACACCGGGAAGAGGCCATCGAAAACATTATAATATTATAGTAGTATTTCCTCGTCGCCATACTTCTCACTCGAAGACAAAATTTTCACTCACGAACCAACACTAACTCTCCTTTTTAATTAGTAAGTTTCTTTATTAAACTATGCAAAAAAAATAAAACCATCGGTTCTATAACATCTTATCCGGACGGGCTTCGTTCATACGTACTACAATGGTAAGAGAGAGCTTTCGGTTCTGACGGGTTAGTGACTTACTTGAAACAATATTATTATTATTATTAGCACGCGTTCCGGCAACAATTTCGTTGGAAAGAGAAGTCAGTTAGCTCTAATGAGACAAACTATTACCTGGTTGTCCTTGAATATCATTGAAAACAATAATTATTGAGTGCAATAAATTAAAAACATTGTGAAACTGTAATGTCTTCTCGGTTTCACATCGAAAAGAAAACCATATCTCTTTCCAGAACTAGTAAATGATGAACTAAAATTATAAACTATCTAAATACAGCGACCAACGGTCGTTAATAATGAAAGGTGAAATAGAGTATTCAACATACTGGATGAATTAAACAATTAATGCAGTGAAATTTGAATGAATGATAAAAAATTAGTGAAGTCCCCAATGGTTGGTTCATAGCGAGAATAGGGAGCAACAATGTCTGTGCGGTTAAGATAAAGCAGTAGGCTAAATGATATTTAAAAAGAAGAATATTTTATGCCCAGAGAATACAGACTGTCCGGGAACATCGGTCGCCCGCAATTGAAATTTACTTTTCCCAAATTGAATGAAATAAATAATTATTTGTATTACCATATTATTTTACGGTTTGCACTCGAGTGGATCCGTCCGATCTGATTATCATTCGATAGTGCTGTGAATAAAAATAATAATAATAGTAATAGTAATATAATTACTATGTGATTCATGTCTCTCGACAGGCAATCGGTATTAATCCGCGGCAACAGCTTTCACCGAAGATCCGTTATTAAGACAACGAAGTGTCATCGGTTAGCCGTGAAAAGATTATTGATCGACAGTCAAAAACACTGTCGTTTGACACCGACCCAAATCGCTTTCGTTGCCTGAACACCGACGAAAACGTGGTCACTCTTCGACTGAAATACTATCACATAAAAAATATTTAATGTTGATCTACATATGTTTAACTACCAGATAAAATAGAACAAATTATTGCTATTCTATGTGGAAGGCTCTTGGGGTAAAGTACATAAAAACTAAAAAAAATCCTCCAGTAGTGGGACTGGAAGTTGTGTGAACAATTTAAATTTTATACGATACCGTACATAACATTTTATTAACTTTTTAGACTATAATACCTTACTAAGGTTTTTGAATATTCGTTGGTTGAATAATCAAGTTTAAATGGAAGCTGTGTTGTTAGTGTATTAACATTTCTATATAAGCGCATTGCTCAACCCCACTACCTTTCAATGCTAAGTTTTAAACGCTTGAAACTTCGAAAATAACTACTCAAAATTAGTTATCGACCGGTCAATATTTTTAGTAAAATTAATATGTAGCCACTATACACTTTCAAGCCTTTTGCAAGTAAATCCGAGAAAAAAGGTCCAAGATAAAGATGAGATAAGGATAAGATTTTTTTTTAAACATTTCCATCGAATGTAAGCAACAAGTTATGTTTTTTTTTTTGGTGTAGAAATAATAATATCATTATGCAACATTTTTTTCAATCTTTTAAAATAATAATTTCCTTTTTTTAATAGAAACAATCTGTAGGTTAACATATAATATACGCGTTTATATAGTAGAATTATGTACATACATAATGTCTGTATTAGGTAATACCTAATGACTTTGTTTATAAAGTAAAAAAATATGACCTGTTCAACAAATAAACATAGTTTTTAACTAGAGATAATACAATATTACCGATTTTTACACAGTACACAATTTTTTTGTCTTATACAATTACTTTCGGAGCTTTTGCCCTATTTCCGGTTTACCATCCGGACTTGTTATCCGACTTTGTTTGAACCGAACCATTTTCCCTGACTCCTTAACAGTTTACCGTATAGCGAGAGACTCACTATTTTTTATTTATTTTTTTTTTTAGATGATAGAGACGATGGATAAAAAAATTCCCCCGCCGTTGCCGCCCAAGACACGCCGCGGATGCCTCAAGACCGGCGACGGCAACGGCGCGACCATTCTATCCAGCGGGCACGTGGTCAAGATACGCATAGATCCGTCCGACGTTCGCGGATGCGGTCTCGAGCCAAAAGTCGAGGAGCCGCACCGACAGCGACAGATGCAGACGCAGCTTCAGCCGCCGCCGCAGCAGCAGCAGAACGACGAGCCGCAGCTGCGCCGGACAAGCACGGTCAAGATCAACATCACTTGCGTGGACCCGTTCGGGTTCTACGACGACCGGTGCTCGTCGTCGGGACACGCGTCCCCGCTGGACAGCGGCACCGGCAGCGACCTGGACTCGACCGGCCGCCGGGACGAGAGCAGCGACGACGGCACGTGCAGCAGCTGCGACTCGCTGACCAGCGCAGGCGGCATGGACGCTGACGGCGTCGCGGCCGTCAAGCTGGACGCCGTCGAAAGGGAACCTAACCATTCGCCGGTGCCACGGCCGCCGACTCTTGTCCGCGTGCAACAGCGGTGCTACGGCGAGACGACGGTGTCCGCGACGCCCGCCCGCGTCATCGACATGGACAACACCGACCAGTACTTTCAGTTCCACATGAACGAGAACGTGTTCGACCACGTGGACGGTTCCCAAGCCGCGACAGCCGAAGTCCAGGGTGGAGACGATTCGTTCGCCGGATGTAAAGCGTACGAAGCCGCCGTCGGCTGTTCGGACACCATCCGCAGCGCCAAGGGCACGATCAGGGGCGTCAAAAACCGAGTCAGGGCCGGCATCGCCACTTTCCTGCAACCGAAAACTTCAAAGGTAAGTCAGCTGATTTAATGCAATATTGGAATAAAAAAAATAAAAAAACATTCATTTCTCCGATACACGGAAAAACATAAAATCATGGGCATTTTTTCCCTCTTCTCACTGACCTCCTATCCTATTACTCCTCCTTTTCTTGATCTATCCAATAGTCCTTTCCTTCCTCCTAACATAAACCTAACCTAACCTTAGCTATTTAATCCAAACTTAACCTAAACCTTATTGATCTTTTATCAGTTGCCTCTTATCACTAATCCTTTATCAGCTGTATCTTAACCGCATCCATAATCAGCTGTTTCTTATTACTATCGGACAAATTGTGACCTAGAGCCTATAAAATATAATAATATAAACATATTACAAATGCGAACTTAATCGTCATTAAATTTACATAACACTAGCGTTATTTAAGCGGGAAATATGAGTATCAATTTTAAAATACTTAAATTATATAAAAAAAACAGTTTGTAACAATTTTGTCAATGAAAAAAGTAAACATATTATTTAATAAATGTTATTGATATTTACTAATTATCTTAGAAATTATCATTCCGATTGGGAAGAAACATGACCTGAACCATATTCACTATAATATTTCAAATTCTTGTATTTCATGAAACGTTCATATGTAGAAATAGCATTTTTTAAATTTAAGGGCTCCGTGTAACTTATTACCAAACCGCTTTTTATGGAAAAAATTATATACATTTTGACAGAACAAACAGTAAAATCGGACTATTAATTACAAAACGCATTTTCCCCGTCAAATGTAGCGAATGGATTAAAACACATTCTATTGACCGCCTTAAACGTTTTCAAAAAATGAGCTGTCCAATTAATATTTCAATTCTTATTCGACGAGATATTATTAATATTTCCTCGGTCATGTTTCAAAATAATCATAAATATTTAGGAGATTAAAGATGTAACCATCGTTCTGTCTATCAAAACAAAGCTGTTAATCAAAACTTCATACGATTATTCATTGATAGATAGCCGGTACGGGAAGTAAATGTAAATAAAAAATCAGTTTGATAAATAGTTTGATGTTTTCGTCTACGATCCGATTGAAACCAAAATTAGCATATACTTGCATTATGCATTAACGTCGACGGAGATAAATCCATATTGATGTTCAATGTTTCGTTGACATTTTTTAAAACTCCATTACCTCGCATAACTAAAAATATACTTACCCTGCCAGTCGATATTTTTTTTTTGTCATTATTTGGTGATTTTACGACCATCGTTGAGCGCCACGGTTGTTTTACTTTATTTTTTTTTTTGTTATTTCAAACGTCATCGGTTTTTTATTTCACATTTTAACCCTGTTGATTTTTTTTCCGACTTCGTGACAGTGACTTCGAAATCACCGTTACTCCTGTTTCTTCATTAGCGGTGCCGAGCTGATTTTTTTTTTTTTTTACATAACCTAATCGGTTAAATAACCATCAAGCATGACTGGTCACATCGCCATACGGTCCTTAACGACAATTTATTTAACAGTTACCATCCGCTGAACACCATATTTTGTACGTTAAACGCGAACCGTTTAGCTAATTTATGACATAGGCGCTAAAAATATACTTGTGTACGTTTTATTCCGCCTGTAATGTACTCTGTGTGGTGCCATCTTGTACTACACTGATGATAGAGGTTTCGTGTCAGCAGGTTTTATTGAGTCTTTTTTTTTTTCATAGGTTAAGACTAATCCGAGACAACTAAATATACTGGAAATTTGAAAAATAAATAGGGTTTATGACGAGCAAAGAAGAGCTGAGAGAGAGAAAGAGAGAGTTGGACAAGGGTAGACAAAACAGTTTGAGATTTTTTTCCCCAATCTCAGGATGGATGAAGTGAAATTTTGACCCGCCAAAGTACCAATCGCATGTAATCGATAGAGATGATAGATTCGAGTAAGTCGGTCCAGAGGGCGAGAATTTATTAGAAGACAAACCTTACCGGATTTGCATGTATAATTTTTTACAAAATATTCCTTTTTCTTTAAAAATTAATCAATTTTTTACAGTTATAAAGAAGTCGGTCCTGACTCCTGACCACCTTTCCAAAACTTGCCCTGATAAACATCACTCATCAGTGCATCGGTACTCGGTTAGGTGTATCTCACAATAGCGTACAGAGATGGTACCGGCACTGCATTTAACTCCCTTTTGTACTGTATTCGAGAAGGTCGCTCAGGAACAATCGAAAAGCAATTGTAAATATCGACCCGAACGTTTTTTTGTTATTTGAGCTCGATGAAAATATATTTGACACACTTGGAAACCTATTAAACAAAATACATATACTTATATGTTTTTGTCATCAGCGGATATGGCACGGGGTCAATCTTTTTTTCTTCTCCGTGTCGTTTCCGTTTCATTACATTAACAGACGCGACATGAATAAAATATATCACAAAACCGTCGTTGTGTTATGGTATTCCATCAAGTATGTACTTGTACCTACTCGTCAACGACGGACTATATTATTATTTACCATGTGTCCGAGAATACGTTTTGACTTTTACTACTTTTCGTCGGTTTGGCTGTAAATGTTGTGTTTCTTTAATCACGGCTAACCAAGACGGAATAATAACATACATCAAAATGCACATAGCACGTCAGCTGTTTGAAACGCTCGACGATTTCACATATGCATATTATAGCTACTTAATATTATATGCAAGCTGCGGCATGGCGTCCGGTGCTATTAAACCAGATATAGAGATATAAAATGTAAAAAATGTTACAGGTTAAAACACCTTTAATTGCCGGATTTTATTCAGTTTTCTAAAACAGCCACTCGTTTATTATCCAATTATTGCTTTGATCTCCAAAACGCCAAACAGTGCCAGGTTTTGCATATTATCGACCGAGCTAAAGTATACACGTTTGTTTTCGTCAAACCGGTATTGTCGTATTGTTATTATTATTTATTTAAACAATGTTATACGGTGAGAGTTTTGAAGTTAGACAGTCTCCGCCGTGGCCGCGAAGACCATATAATATTATGTTTGGTTGTTTTTCTCCAAAAACGCGACAGACGACGACCTGATATATTTGCAGTATTGAATTTATCTTGTAAAATATATATTGCACGTGTATTTAAGTCACTGGATTAGTAGGCATGTGACACGGTTTGTGGACGACTCGCGCTCCGTTTGTTCCGCCACGGCCGCTGACTTGGACTTGAAAAACACTGTATAATAAAATGTCCCCATATTAGCTGTGAGTGTAAAATATAATTAAAAACCTATGTATTATGCATAGGCGCGAATCGCACAAATTATCATAAAGTATTTCCGCGTTTGTAGTACGTATCCGGTTAACTTTATGTGGACACGGTAGTTGGGCTAAAAATCTTTGGAACGATGATCACCAAACATTTATAATGATTACATTTAAAAATAAAAATACACAAATTATTAAAATTATTACATTAGCAATAACAATTCCCCGAAAAATAAACCCCCAAAAATGTTTAATGATTACAACAGAAACAACAATTCCCCGAATAATAAACCCCAAAAATGTTTAAAGATTACAACAGAAATAACAATTCCTCGTATAATAAACCCCAAAAATGTTTAATGATTACAATAAGATAAACAATCTCTGGAAACCGATCACGGAACACGACTAAAAATACTTATATTATTCTCGAAGTCTATAACCTTGTTACCTTACAATTCTAAATATAAACAGAGTAAAATGAAAGCATTAAGTACCTAATATTTGGCCAATATATGTATACTGTAGTTGTGTACCTGATCATCAAAACGATTATAATATTATATTATCAGCATGGGAAATACTATTTTTTTAGTATTTTTATTAAACCCACTTCACTATTCACGTATCCACTAAATACAATAACCAACTAAGAACATGTTCTAAGACAAAAATTACTTGTTGATACGAATCCGACGATCGATTTAAAAGAAAAATTATAATAATAATATCAGATATACCATTTCCGTATCGACTAAACAAAATAGAATCATATTTTTCGGCGCGTTCGCCTCGTGTTTATAACCTCCATCGCAAAGGGATTGCATAATATTATTAGGCGTTATACTATTACCACAAGTACCGTGGCCGGACGAAGGCTACAACAATGGCACGCGGCCGCTAATAACATAATACACATATGTATATCGGTAATTTCGCAACGGCGCCGAATTATTATTATTATTATTTTTTTTTTACGCCTTCCATGTGAAAAACAATGTTTGTATGTATACAACAACACCGACTAGCTATAATATTGTGGCGCGTGCTGTGCGGTCAGTCAACAGGGAAAACCGTGTCGAAATTCAAAAAACGTCGCGGGCACGTGTAGGTGGAAGTAATGTAATAATATCCGAAAAAATAATAATAATAAAAAATGACGTTTATGGTTGCCAATCGGTAATGGTTACTTGGCGCAATCGTTATGGGAAAACGACATTCTCCCGGAGAAAAATAACACCAATCAACCTTATGGCGTCAGAATAAAAAAAAAATATATATGACTTCCTAATAGGCTTCTGCTACACCAGCAAATGCAATGACCCGGTGTACTGGTGATGCCTACTAATACTAATAATAGAGCAAAGTCTCTAATGGACATGAAGGTGGGTGGTCAGCGGACACTCTACACTTCCTTTGCCAATAGAGAGTTTGGAGACTTTAACGTTTTTGGGGAAAACGACTACCGACTTCAATCGCCAACGCCGTATTATTGATTTTTAGCCTCGTGACATCTAAACTAGTGTAATATTATTTACTCGGAACGCGTTTCACGGTTTGTTCGGTAAAAAAATATAATAAAACAAGAATGGCGTTCGGTTTCTAAATCCGCTGTGGTACGGGCCAAATACACACGTGCATATACTTAACAAGTCAGCATGTGTACTAATGGGCGACGACTCTTTCCTCGAGAGACCATCACGGCCAATATAGAAAATAAACTGGATTGCTGACTTCTTATAAATTATATATGCCGACCGCGTT